GTCAGGCCCACCACAACTGTTGCTTTATCTCCGTCTCTGCGCTGAGACATCGCAGGACCTCGATGAAACGCGGCACGCCGTCACTGACCCAGCTGGACGCAGCCATGTAAAAAGCACGACAAAAAACAACACAACACCGACTGTTCATAGTTGCCACACGAATTTAAGTTGCTGCTAAAAACGCAAAAAAGCGAAAGAAAATTACAGGTATGCGCATTATAAGCCACCAGACAATAAAACAAACGGTTTTATGCTCCGGCGTCACTGAATGTGATGTACATGCGCAGATTCTTTGTAATATTTCCAATCTTGCTCCTTCCACAAACAGCGCCATTTTTTCTGCAGCGTTCTTCTCAGGAACTGCCTAAAGCAGTAGTCCGGTGCCGTGTGTCATCAGCGCCACTCCTTTCTGCAAATGGTCCCCTTAGGCGACAAAAGGGGTTTACTTCAAAGTACTTTACTTTTGCCCGTGTGTCACGGGTATCAGACTTTCCTAATGCTTTAGCATAATGTGACTTTGGGCGACTGGTTGCATGTAGTGCAAAGAAATGAGAGAAAGAGATGCATGATTGCTAACTAAATTTATTTTGCACAAGCCCTGCCACTTTAAAAACAAAAAATTGGGCTTTTCAAAAACATTTTTGAAACTCCTAACAGCTTTTTTGTAGCATGTAGGTTGTTTTGCATGATAACTTTTTTGGGGGCACATTGGGGTTTACTGTAGGGCATATTTGTTCTGCAGGAAAAAAAATTCAGTAAGGGAGAAGGCTGCTTCAATGAGCTGGTTCGAGTGAAAAGAAAAACCGCTTAAGTGCGTGCCACTGTGCAAGTTTTTTGTTTTCTTTTTCTACGCATGAAATAGAAGTTGGTTATGGACAGAATTACGCACTCAGAAGAAAGATATAAGCACTGAAAACTTACTCTTCAAACCTACACTCCACAGTTCCGCTGCCGGACTTCCGATTGTTTTCTCGGGCTCTTTTGTAGGCTCTTTCAAGTGATTTCCACTTATTCATCACTTGGAGCACACTCAGGGAGCACTCGAATTCCTCATTCAGGGCATCCGTCATGTATAGGAACAACTGCTTTTTGTTCCTGTGAGCAAAAAAAAAAAAAAGTTAACAAAGTAATGCACACGTGCTTATCACCAACGTGCTCATCACTGCCTCACCTCAGTCCTCCCTTCTTGCCGATGTTTCTGAAATTCTCCTTATATTTTTCAATCAAAAATCTGGTCCTCCGACCGCTCCATAGAGCTTCTTCCGAGTCGTCGCGACGCGCACGACACGGAGAAAGCGCAGCAGCTGCAGCAGCGGACGCCTGCGTCGTCGGCTCAGCATTGTTTGGCGGTGTTGGCTGCGTTGTAGGCATAGCCGGCATGGCATGCTCGTTTGTCGGGTCAGCATTGGCAAGACGACCCGACGCACAAACTACCCGCACTTGTCTCCCATCTGGAAAAGGCAAAACAACAACCACAAAAAAAAACAAAGGGTAATGAAGAAATGTCCCCGTCGGGCCAGTGAGCGGACAAATGGTCCAGCATGCTTTTTCAAAATTACCTGTGGTAGTGTAGAGTTCGGCGTCGCCGTCAAAGACGATAACTCCAAACTCGTCCACGATGGGAAAAATTTCGGTCTGGACACCGTCGATGTCCTCGACCACCGGCATATTTGTCATCTGCTGGTCGCGTTGTCGTCTGCTGTCTGCCAAGCATGCGCGGGGAGCAGGTTGTGTGGCTGCACCCAAAATGCTGCACCCTCGTGATGGGAGGTTCAAGGGTTCGCGGCACCGCGGCAGCACCTTACCTGCACCCGCCACAATCGAGGACGTTGGTGCGGGGGGCGCCGCTGCACCTTCGGGAATCGAGGACCTAGGTGGAGCGCACTGTGAAAAAGTGCAGAAGGTGCAGAGAACCTTGGCTGAATCGAATAGACCTAAAATAGAATTTTAGGTTAAATAGAAATAGAAGTTAAATAGAAAAATAGAAATTTAAATAGAAAAAATAGAAAGTTAATTAAAAAATAGAAGTTAAATAGAAATTAAATAGAAATAGAAGTGTCGTTGGAGGGACTTCTTCAATACATAGCAACTTTAAAGAAATGCATACTGACTCATTTTTAGAAATCAAACGATTGATAATATAGTTTATTCTTTTTTTCCCTCAATGAGTTCTTTGATCAACTGAAGTTAAGATGGTTGGTATGCTGCGTTAGCCCGTCTCTCTTCAAGTGCTGCCACCATTTCCATCCTTCTCATTTCCATTTCAGCTTCCCTTAATCAGACGTCGTCGGCATGCCGCTGGTGTAGCAGCTTCATGTTGTCTTCGTGCTGGCGAATTTCGAGGTCCAGCTTTCTTTTGTCGATCTGGTAGCTGAGGAGGCGCATTTCTACGTCTTGATTATACCTGGCCTCCAAAAACGCCAGCGTTGCCTTATTTCGGCTTCTCCCTGCTGCAAAAATATGTAAACAAGAAACATTGGACTTGACATACTGAAGTACCTGAAGGGATACTGAATAAAATTTTTGCCAATGTAGTTTTCAAGCAAACTGAAAGATTGGCTCCTGAAATCAATTGATACAACCTTCATTTGGCAAAAACTTTACCTGCCTGGTCAGCCCTTCAGATTTAGGTGGAGACTCACCCCCGCCCCCCAACAGACACATACTGAAATAAAATTCTGCATACACCCTGGTTGCATTGCTGAGATTGTGGAGCGTTCCTCACTTGGAAGATACGACAGTGCTTAGCTGCTCGTCAGACAAAGTGACTACATTAATCATCGAAGCTACACACATTGAAAAAAAAAAAAAAGAAGGTGCTTGTGTTAGCATGGTGTCATTAAAGAAAAAAATGGAATTTCTAGATTTGTATTGTTTGTGTGAATAAGTGTTCACTATGAGCGGACGAAAGCAAGAGTTGTTGAACAGCTTTTTATTTTCATGTTTATTGTATATATATTTATGCACTGCAGCAAATAAAAAATAAAGATCGGGTGTGAGTCAGCGCTCATCTGTGTGCCCAGTGTGTCCCTGTTTTCTTGCACTGTTTTTTCGTTACGGTGCTTGCAAACCAAGTAGCCCCCTGACAAGCATTGACAATCTAGCATCAGTTGAAGAAGACTAGCACTCTTGCTGGGGTCTCAGTACCATATACAGTAAATGCTCGGATTTAGAAACAAAATTTTTACAAACATCTAAGAATTATGCTTTTAGGAAACCCCATTTGTTTTTCTATCTGTTTTGTGCAAAAATGTTTTGTTTGAACATATCTGAATAACAAACATTTCAGCTGAAGGGGCTTTGTTACTGAAATTCTCATTATATTTCTGAAATCAGTTCAATACATTTTTGTGTTCTGCTATGCTGGCAGTGGCAGATTGAAATTCCGTAACTTTAACCAGCTCTACAATCCCTTGGGAAGTGGCAAGGCTTTATGGCTCAGCAACAAGCTATGCGACAGAAAGTGCACCAAACATTAACTCTCTGGACAGCCTTGCGACTTCTATAGCGAATAAGTTATACATGATCTACTTAATAAGCTAAGGCCGCTTTATGCTGCTGAATAATGTGCCCATAAGGTATGAAATATTACTCTGGACTTCAAAGATTGACTGTTGCATCCATATTTGTACTTGAGCTCAAAACCACACTGTAGTAAAGTCAAAGTTGGTGCTGTGATTGCACAATGGCACATATTACTTTGCTGTGATGAAATGAATTCTTTACTGGGTGCAATCATGGCAAATAAGCCCTTTAAGCTCTAGGTTCATTTGGATAGAGCAAAAACTTTGTTATGTACCTGTTAGTGGTGTGTGTCGTCGAGGGGTCTGTTCTGTTGATGCAGCCAGTTGTGCTCGTGCACTGCCTCTAGGCAGTGGCTGTGGCACATTTGTTGAAAGCTCTGAAAATGCACAAGATATTCATGTTTATTGCTTTATGTCTACTGCCGCTGAAAATGTGCACTTCGGACACTAACTGAAATTGATTTGTCACGTGAATTTTATTGTAACCACAAAATCAGCCTATGTTTGGGGAGTCCAGTATTGCTCATTGCATAAACCACAGCTTGCTTGATAACACGCAGTGATGGAAGTGCTGCTTCAATTGCTCCAAACTGCTCCAAAAGAGAAATGCTGCTCCAAAGTGTATTCTTTGTTACTAATTGCTTCAAACCTGCTCTGAGATGACACTGAGAGTATGAGAATGCTGAACTTTTACTGTTTGAGCGACACACAAGTCTTGAAGAAACTAAAAAGAATCTGCCTACTACCATCCCAGTGTGTTACTAGTGTGCAGCATTATTGGCTCTGATCTCACATGTGCGACAAGAATCGGCATATGAAGCATACAGCTCATAGGTTTTTTTTTTTTTCTCAGCTAGACGTGCAGGCTACTATGGTGAAATTTGAAAATGAGCAGGACTGCTTTTATCTGATGCCGATTATCTACTGCTTATTTGGCAACAGTAATATGGGACTGTGGTTACTTCTAAAATGTGGTGCTCAACATTTCCAGTTTGATATCATATCTGCCACACATTAGTATTTTAAATTGCAGCTTATTGCACAGCATATTTTGGACAATCTGCTATTGTATGATACATTTAATTTATAATGACTTTTGTCTGTTAAAAATAATACTTTCGAGCTTATTTGACAATGCTCCGAACTCGTACTAATGTATGGCAAATTTAATATCTTCTAAAACACCGATAGCTGCTCTGAACTACCATTTTTTTTCTGCTCTGAAAACAACTATGGCTGCTCCAAAGTATGCTCCAAAAAGTAAAAATGCACTTCCATCACTGGACATCTGATAATAATGGAAGTGTCTAAAAGATTCCTGTAAAATATGTCCAAATGGCATTGAATACGTGTGTCTCTGTATGGCCTCACATTATGGCACATCGAATATAATTTCTGCACAAGCTGACAAAATGTATCCATATGGAAACAGGCAGTCATGTTTCATGAATTGTATTATGAATCATTAAATGCTGATAATCATACTGGCAGCAGTGGCATGCTCATCGCAAATACTGTCTGTTTTCTTTATAAGAGAACAAACAAAACATGAAACAAGCTTAGTTGTTGAACTGCCTAATCCAAAATTGTAGGTTGAATTCTCGGCCGCTGTGGCTTCATTTCAGTATGTGCGAAATGCAATGGCATTCGTGTACTTAACTGAGGTTGACATAAAAGAACTGAAAGTCGTAAAGATTAATGCCGAGTACGTACATTACAACACACCTAATACTCATATTGCGGGTTTTGCTAGCGAAATCCCACAAATTGTAGCTATTGAAAACATAACAAACAGGGATATAAAGTTAACAAAATGATGTACCTCGCAATGGTGTGCGATTATGAGCGGCTTGGGAAGGCCCATCCGCACTTGTTGCTGGCGTGTGGCTTGCCTCATTGGCCGTGCCATGTGTTAGCTCAGGCTCTGGAAAAGTTGACCCCATCATTGTCACATACGGGACTCTTCAAAGTGATGACATAATTTTAAGTAAGCCTTTAATTGGCTTGTTACACTAGGCAACATTACGAAAAGCAACACATTTACACCAGTATACTTGCCCAAGTATTCATCATGCTATCAGCTGTGCTCACAACCAAAAAAAATCGGTAAATTTTACGTGGCACATGAAAACCCACTAATAATTGCTATTAAAAATATGACAAAGAAACGACAATAATAATATACCTGGTGATGGTGTATGGCTGCCACGAACTTCTGTTGAGGGCCCATCAACAGTTGTTGCTGGCGTGTGGGTCCGCTCATCAGCCATGCCAGCTGCACTCATGTTGGGAGCTAGAAAAATTGACCCCATTATGGGCACACATGTGATTCTTCAAAGTAATGACATAATTTCAAGTAAACCTTTAGTGGCTCATTGCATTAAGCAGGGTGACACAAAGCAACAAAACACCTGCACCAGTAGGATTGCTGAAGTATTAATTAAACAACGTCGGAAAAAATATTCACCATTCTAGCGGTTGCCACTAATGTCTGGGGAAGTTATCACAACAGAGAGCGAGGACATTTATTCATTAAAAATATTCATTCAGTGCTACGAGATGGTATGGCTGCATATGCTCAATCAACAACAGCGAATACAAAACAGTGTTATGCGGTAAGCTATATAGATGATAAGAACAATGCAGTAGATGTGGCAGATTATCACGCTGTCCACATGCACAGGAACACTGCTGTGCAAAATAAGTGAAGGCAGTTTACCTAACAACGGCTTTTACAGGTTTTCAAGAGTATGCTGGCAAAAATGTATATAGGTGCCTCACCAATTTTTTGTTATAGTGAATTATGTTGAAACTCTAATATTTTTACATACATTGTGCCTCAGCTGATAAGGGCCAGTCAAAATGGCAGCGGGTGTCTGGATCGTCCACATCATTTGCAGTACCTTCATTCTCCCTTGCATACATGCTACGCAGCAGTGAAGCCGCTGGGGTCACTGCGTCACCTTGTACAGATGGAAAATATTAAAACACATGAAATCAAAAACCAGTGCCTCTTTAGTGATGTTAGTTACACAAGTTCCCTAACATTTCACCCGGAAATAGGTGCATATTTGCTTTCAATCAGGCTGAACAACACGAGTGACCCTAAACGCTGGAAAGCATTGTTGCAGCACATCATTTGCAAATTTGTCAATGCAGTTACTTGATGGGACCGACAACCAGTATAAATGTGACTACATCCAAGCAGAAATAAAAAACAAACATGAAAATAGTGACAGATTACAGCAGCCTTTTCACATTGTAAGTAGGATTTATATTTTGAATATTTTTTAAGAGCACTCAAAAACAGGTATGTCCTACAGCCTAGAAGAAGCCCCTCGCAGCTAGATTCCTGAGTCTATTGCTGCTGTATGCAGTTGCATATTCCCATGCTGTCATGCATGCCATCATCAAAATTACAGCACGTATAACAAAGCCTGCTCTATTCTGTGTTTTATTTACTAGGTAAGAGGAGTTGCACGGTGAGAGGCGGTGCTGCCTTTTGGGCAGCCAGTGCACATTGTTAAGCTGCTGCGTAAGCACATAGAGTGTGCACATGCACAGTGTACTGCCTTGCTCGGACACGAACCACTCTTGCGCTCACTGTTTGAGGCATGTGTTGTCACGTGCATCTCCAACAACAAATTCACCGGAGATAGAAACAAATTATTACAAATGTTTTACAGGATTTTACTTGTTACTATTCTGTGATTAGACACTCTGACTATTAAGCTTTTCATTGTGCTAAAAAATAGGTGCCATAACAATAAGTTGTTGTTCCCTTTGAGGTAGTTAAGAAGACGGATTATCAGATAATTGAGGAACATTCGTAGCGACCGCAATAACGGTGTCATCGTGGAATTCACTCCAAAAACTTTATCATGTGAAAATAGCAATTATCTCGTGCATATCAACTGGAAATAAAACTTTCAGAAAGTCACACATTGACAGATTTAAGTGTGAATAATAATGTTAACATAAATGTATCATATGGGTCAACCAATACAGAGTATATTTGGCCTCGAATTGTGCAAGTTAATTTGATTGAACGATGCAGATGAGTGCCAATGTTTCAGAGCTTCCTTCTCCACACCTTATGAAACAAGAAAAAGAAAAAAAGGGGGGGGGATTCTAGCGAGGTTCTTACCAGATTGATTGCTTATCTCCGCTGCTGATTCAGCAGCATGGCACTCCAGCGCGGCGATGTGGCGGTCGTCCCAACTGGCCTGCGCGGTAGGCCTGACCCGCTTAGCAGTGGACCCCGACGCAGACTCTGGCGCGGTCTCTGATGCGGAAGCTGGAGTGTTCTTCGCACGGTGCTTCCGAACAGCCGACCGTGGTGGCCGATACGAATATTCGGCGGCGAGGTCAGCCACGTGCTGGAGAAGTACGTCGATTGCCGCGTATTCTTCTTCTGTTCCCGATCTAGTCAAGCAAACAATCACGTTTACAAAGTTTGGCCACAACGTGGTGGCTTGAAGATAACGTGAAATATACGGTCTACTTACTTTTTTTCTGTTTTTCGCGTCATTCCGTATGAAGTGGGCCAGGAGAAGGTCAACGCGTTCTTTAACACTACGCGAATTAAGTGTTCGCCGCAGCAGCATTGACACTCTTTCAGTGATCGTGTGCCACCGAGAAGCATTTTCGTAAGGGTTAAGTACAAGAACTTCTTCAAGGATAATTTTATCGTCGGAAGGCGAGTAGCGTGTACGCGGCGCCATCCTAATAGCACGCCTCGAAGTAGCCGTCTTATTCTTTTACGTTTCTGTTAGGCTCGACTTGACTCGGCTCAAAGGAAAGGGAAGCCGGTAATGGCAACCTTGGAAGCATCTCGGGCGTTTGGGCGTTTGAGCGTGTCCGGTAAACGCCCGTAAGGCACGCGCATGCGCAGTTCAGACCCGGTAAACCGGTATCCGCAAACTTTTTTTCCGTATCCGTCCGTCCATTTGTTCTTGGTTCTGTCCGTCCATGCGTGCTTCTGTGTGGCCGCCCGTGCGTCCATCCGCCCGTCCGTGCGTCTGTTCATGCGTCCGCACGTCCATCTGTGCGTCCGTCCCTGCGTTCGTCCATGCATCCGCTCCTGTGTCCGTCCATGCGTCCATTCGTCCGTGCAACCATCCGTGCGTCCGTCGATGCATCTGTCTGGGTGTCCGTTCGTCCACCTATTGAACACTCTAAGTACCACCATCTCGCATCTTTTCATCATATATTCCTCACAAAGAAACACCGCCATCCAGCGGACATTCCAAGGACTGAACAAAAGGAGGCACACGCACACTTTCTTACGGCTTGCGCTTCGTGTCTACTTCCCACCTTTAACCACCTCCATTTCATGGTATATACTAGTTCGCTGTATTCATGGCACTGCGGCCCAACGCTCGCTAAATCTTTCTAAAACCAAGAAGGTTACGCCCAGCGAGTATAACGTAGCAACCCTTTCTTGTCAGATAGTGCTCAATGTACATGCCAACGGCTGCTAAGGGGGAATGAGAGACAGGAGAATCCGGCTTTTAGTTAACGCCCACGCTGCGATTCTTTTATTGTTCAACAACGCACGGAAGAAATCTCCCACCGGCACCACCTTGGGGGTCAAAATGTAAGACTGGTTACACACTACGACTACAAGGGACGAACGGGTGCCCCTATAAGGAGCTTCGCCCCTAAAAAAGAAGTGCTCAAGGTCACGAGGCACGGTAGTTTCTTTGCTCTGTCACCCCTCCCTGCTTAGCTTGCAGCACTTTCGTGGGGACGAGAGAAGAGATAATACATGCGACAAACCTTTATAACTCCACTCATTCTGGACGGATTCTTAAAATTATTGCGGCGTAAAATTCATGAGGCAATAAGCTCTTCTAGTGAATTCATTGCATGGTTACCAGAAAAAGTGTTTCAGGGCCTATTTACCGCATTTTATTCGACAAGTGTCACGACGAAAATGAGCCCATTCGGCGATAATAGTGCGCGCTGGTGCAATCTGCTGTGTGCGTGTTTGTGTGCGTGCGTGTGAATGTAACAAAACAAAGGAATAAGTATGCACTTAGCAGTTGAAGGGTGCACTAGGGGCCAGAATTCGCTATCGCGTTCAACTCATAAAGGCGAAGCTTAAGGGTCCCCCAACTTTTTCATTTCTACATATGGGAGAAAATGTGCCTATTGATACCTAACGTATGATCAACAGATCATCGCGCTGACCGTCAATCTATTTCTTATGACGCTGGGGCAACGGCACTTCCTCCTTGTCGTAAATGTGTGGCTGTCAGCAAGGCTGACTAAAATCCCTAGACATAATTATTGTAGCGCCATTCATGTCAGTGTGAAGGCTTCTCCTCTCCTTTGTGCTTATAGTAGCTTTCGGTAGCCTTGATAGTGCAACCGTCATCTTGTGTGTCCTCGGTCGCGCATTTTCTTTTGCTTCCGCGATAACAATGCGGGTGGCGATTTGGGCTTGTTGGCTTTCGATTTAGGCTTGTCTGCGCTACCATATATCATTATCCACAATGACACTGCGTTACCATTCCTTGTGCGCCGGGAGAGGTTATGCCTGTCTCCGTAGTTTCCTGCTGGACGCTCTTTTTTTTTATAAGGGCTCTGTTCTTGCTGCTTAGGGAAAGCAGACGCTAAGGGGAGTGGTTGGTGCTATTTTAATGTTTTAGGGACTTAATTGCTGACGCCCTGGAAAGCCGATGGTTAGACAATGGCCTCCGAGATTGCGCGCCGGCAGGGCACGCAATCTTGGAGGCCAGTGTTAAAGCCATGATCCGCGTGCCATTTATCTCGTTTGAATCACGTTTCAAGGGACTGCAGTAGGGTAGCACATAGAGTTTCCTAAAATTAACTAGAGGGGACTCTGGTGATAAGATCGTTCAGAGACCATAGAAATGATGGAGAGTACACAGAATTGCCTAGTCCTCGTACTTACGGGCTGCGAACCGCACTTGTGGCTTAGGTTATTGCTGTGTTTTGGTTTTGTTTTGAAGGAAAGAATTGACCCTTTCGAACTTCCTGACCCGATTTGAAATGGTAAGCCTAAAAAATTAAGGTGGTGAGGCACGGCTCCTGAAAAATCACTGAATGTTGTTTCACGACAAAGCAGCGTCAAGTCCCGATAAGACAAAAGAAACGTAAAGTACGAAGACTAGGGATATCCGTGTGCTGTATACTCATAATTCCCATGCTCGCTGAAGCACCATGCGTTGCAGCTCTCATGGGCACTAGCGCCAGAATTCATTCTCGTGTACACACTGGAAACTCGATGCGGTACTAGGTAGCATGCATGTGCCGTCACGTGGTTCAGTTTCACTTCACGTTTTGCGGGCTTTATATACATATATATATATATATAGTTCACGTGCTATGTGACGCCAAACAGGCTCATAAAGAGTGTGCCACACTCGCCGCCATGGGTACTAGTGGCGCTGACTGACACTCCCACGTTTAAATTGACATAGATACCCAATAAAGTGGCCGGGGGGATAGCTGTCGTGGTAGCTGAGTGGTAGAGCATCGAAGGCGTTATTCGAAGGTCGCAGGTTTGGATCCTGCCCACGGCAAGTTATCTTTTCACCCACTTTTCTTTCTTCTCATTCACATTACAATTGGCCTAATACCTTCCTTGGCATTATTGTCTGTTAGATCTCATTAATATTGTGTAAAACACGAAGAAAGGAGCCCTTAAGTATACACTTGTTTCCCTTATATATATATATATATATATATATTAAAATTTCTTTGGTCTCTCTTGACGCCTTGACAGCTCAGCCACAACAGGCCCGGTCTGTTACTTTCAACTTTTCAACTTTCGACGAGGCCTCCTTTGGCGCCAATGCTTCGGAACTAGGACAGACCACAGTTGCGCATCATCGCATCGACACTGGAGGTCGGACTGTTGTACGCCGTCGTCCCTACCGAGTCTCCTTCGCCGAGCGCAAAATCATCGACGAGAACGTGACCGACATGCTAAAAAGAAACATCATA